CTGTGCAGAAGCTTTTGAGTTTGATATAGTCCCATGTGTTCATTTTTTCCTTTGCTTCTGTTGCCTTAGGTGATGTATCAGTGAAAATTCTGCTGCATATGATGTCTGAAATTTTGTTGCCTACATTTTCTTCTAGGATTTTTATGGATTCACAACTCTTTTATCCATTTTGAGTTTATTCTTGTGTATGGTGTAAGTTGATGTTCTAGTTTCATTTTCTTGCATGTAGCTGTCCAACAAAATTTTAAAATTTTGATGGCGTCCAGTTTATTTTTATTTTGTTGTTTGTTCTCATATCTAAGAAACCATCACCTAATCCAAGGTCATGAATATTTATATCTATGTTTTCTTCTATAAGCTTTATGGTTTTAGCTCTTACATTTAGGCTTTTCATACATTTTGTCTGATTTTATTTTTGGTGTGAGGCAGAGGTCTAACTTCATTCTTTTGTATGAGGATAGCAATGGCCCCCATTACACCAAATGACTATTGTTTCCCCTATTGATTTGTTTTGACATCCTTGTCAAAGATCAATTGACTATAAATGTGAGGGTTTATTTCTGGACTCAACTCTAGTCCATTGCTTGATAGTTAGTTTATCTTTACGCCAGTATCGGTGTCTTTATTTTCAAATTGGGATGTGTGATTCCTCCCATTTTGTTGCTATTTTTCAAGACCGTTGACACTGATCTTTTAGATTCTTCATGTATGGTTATTCAACTATCATCTTCAAATACATCAGCTATAACTCAACCCAATTTTTTCCATTTTAACTATATAAATACAGCCATATGCTCTGTGAAACACAACATTGCTGTGCCTATATCACTGATCTGACAAACAAACTTTTTGTTGTTGTTAATCCTCACCTGAGGATTTTTCCATTAATTTTTAGATAGAGTGGAAGAGTGGGAGGGGGAGAGAGAGAAACATTAATGTGAAAAAGACACATCAATTGGTTGCCTCCCACATGACCCTGACTGGGGCTGGGGATCAAACCTGCAATCCAGGTACGTGCCCTTGTCTGGAAATCTAACACAAGACCCTTGGGTCTGTGGGCTGACACTCTAACCGCCGAGTTCAATCTTCCAGGGCTGACATATGAATTTAATTAAGCTTTGAAATAAGTGACGGGAGAATAACTCGGCATAGTTAATTCTTTGCCAAACACATCAGCATCCTGGTGATCATCAAATTCTTTTCCATGTCTTCACAAACCATGTAATGACCCAATTCTGCTGGGGAATAATGTCAAACAGGTGAGTGAATGAATCATTTCTGAAATCTGCCCTTTCCCTTCTGCAAACTTTGCTGGTATATGCCTTTTTCTGTTCTCTAACCATTTCCCAATAGCTATATCTCCGTGATTATGAAGCTACCAAAATTGCCTCTTATCTCATGGGCACACGTGAGGAGTTTACAGAATGCAGTCTTCTGTTGCAAACAGAGTGTATTCTTTAAAAAAAATTTTTTTCTTTATTCATTTTAGAGAGGAAAGGAGAGAAACATTGATGAGAGAGAACGTTGAATGGCTGCTTCTTGCATGCCCCCACAATCTGGGCAGTGCCCTGACCAGGAATCAAACTGGCGACTTCTTGGTGCATGGGTCAACGCTCAACTACTGGGCCACATTGGCTGGGCTACAAATAGAGTGTATTTATTTTCAGATTTGTGATTCTGGCTCCACAATGCAAGAAGAGACAGAAGGCAGCACAAAATACAATTGAAATTTAGTACAAAAAAAAAAAGTTTCATAAAATAATTAAAGTCTCCATGGCAGTTTTCTCCCAACTGATGTCCTGCAGATTTTTTTTCTTTTAATTTTAATAACAGCTAGAAATTTGTTATTCTACTGGCAGAGAAGACAGTTCCTACCCCCAAGAAATTTAGCATCATGGACAATAATTGCCTTTTGTCTCCACTGTCCATAAGGTTGTTTGCAAACACAAGCTTCTAATCCATGTCCCATTTGATGTTTGACATCATGAAATATTTCCTTTTCCAAAGTGATAAGGAAAAAGATGTGACACCTATAGAAAACCAGACACGGCATCACTGGGCTCTACTGGTACACATAGTATTGTTACATAGATCCAGGTACAGCCTGAATTACATGCAGTAACATTTTTTTTTTTTTAAATTCTCAGGAATGTTTCACTTAAATAAATTTCCATTTTACTAAAGCTTAAACCTATAAGCACCAGCACATTTTAGACCACTTCTTGATAATTTGAGGTTTTTTTCTATAAACTCATGCCGTGATAGCTTCTGGGTTAATGAACTGCTTAGAATTATTTGGTCTATAATGGAATGTCTACTGAGTTACTTGGTTTTTCTCTAGTCTCCTCCTTTGTCAGCTGCCCTTCTTTTTACTTTTTATTTATTGTTTTGAGAAAAAGAGAGGGAAGGAGAGATTGATAGACTGATTTGTTGTTCCACTTATTTATGCACCCTTGGTTGATTCTTGTGTGCCCTGAGTGGGGAATCGAACCTGCAACCGTCATATTATTATTTTTTTTCATCCTCACCCGAGGACATTTTTTCGTTTTTTGTTCAGATAGAGTGGGAGGGAGAGATAGGAAGAGAGAGAGAGAAACATCGATGTGAAAGGGACACATCGAGAGGTTGCCACCCACACAACCCAACCAGGACCAGGGACAAAATGCAACCGAGGTACGTGCCCTTAGCGGGAACCAAACCCGGGTCTCTCTGGACCGCAGGCCGACGCTGTAACTACTGAGCCAAACTGGCCAGGGCAACCTTCGCATATTTGGATGATACTCTAATCAACATACCCATTAATAATGGTGTTTGATATCTGTTGAAGCAGCCCAGGGACATTGGATTAATTCTTTGGTCTATGGGCCAACACTCCAACTGCTGAGCCAAACCGGCCAGGGCATCCTAGACCAACTCTTATTTCTTCAGCCACCTTCAGGTACTAGATATAACAATTCACCTATTTGGCCCTGACTAGTTTGGCATAGCGGTTAGAGTGTGGGCCCGAGGACCAAAGAGTCGCAGGTTCAATTCTAGTCAAGGAAACATATCTCGGATGCAGGTCAGTCCCCAGCCCTGGTTGGAGTTGTGCGGGAGGTAACCAGTCGATGTGTCTCTTTTGCATTGATGTTTCTCTCTCTCTCTAAAAAAAAAAAAAAACCAACAATGTTCATTTAAAAAAAAATTTTTTTTTATTAGATTTGAGAGAGAGAGAGAGGGAGGAAGGGAGAGAAAAAACATTGATGAGAGAGAACATCAATTAGCCACCTCCTGCATGCTCTGCACTGGGGATCTGGCCCACAACTTGGGCATGTCCCTGACTGGGAATTGAACTGGCGACCTTTTGGTGCATAGGTCGATGCTCAATCACTGAGTCACACTGGCCAGGCAACAATGTTCATTTTTAAAAGCCAATTTAATCTTGTATTTTATTCCATTTATGTTCAAATACATAATGCATGGATAGAGCAGAAGGGAGCAAGGGAAATACAATTGTTTAAAGAGATTCTCCACAAACTTTATTTAATGTTGTAATGATTTTATAATATTTTTTACAGTATTGTTTTATTTTAGTCACAGACTGGTATAGCTATGGACATGGTCAGTAACATTAAGGTTTCTCTAAAATTGTCTATACAGTCACTCCATCTATTTTTCATTTTTTCCAAATCCTAACAATTAGACTCAAAGCAAAGCAAAGATGAAACACTGTGCATGTCATTTTGAATGGATTTTGAGGCAGAGGGATGGCAAAAGGAGAAGAGGGTATTGTGTTAAGAGTTTATATGACTGATTCCAGAATGTCACTAAATCTTAAAATAAGAAGAGATATTCATACGCTACACAGATTAAGCAGTCACTAATGCTTGAAGACATGAAAAGCCATGTAATAATAACTGTGTACAATATGTAGTTGAGATTGCACATGCATGAGTGGGTAGACAACGTAATAACAGCAATAGACAGATACCCCATATTTTAGGCCTTTTCTACATTTAAGGAGCCAGGGAGTCAAGAACAGAAACTGAGCCCTGGCCAGTTTGGCTTAGCGGTTAGAGCATCGGCCCGTGGTCCAGAGAGACCTGGGTTCAGTTCCCGCTAAGGGCATGTACCTCGGTTGCAGTTTGTCCCCAGCCCCAGTTGGGGTTGTGTGGGAGGCAGCCACTTGATGTGTCCCTTTCACATTGACATTTCTCTCTCTCTTCTCTCTTCCTCTCTCTCCTTCCACTCTATCTGAACAAAAATGGAAAAATGTCCTCAAGTGAGGATAAAAAAAAAAGAAAAAGAGCAGCAATTGAATCTTACCTGGAGTGAGTGGGAAGAGGCTGACAAAGCTGTGCTCAGAGGCACACAGTGCTGGCCCACACCAGGCAGCACCTGAGATCTGCATTTAATAGCACAGACAAACCTAAGGGAGACACTGTAATTTCAAACTTGAAGGTGATTAAGTTATATAAATTTCTTATAAAACACACGAACAAAATCAGCCACATTAGATTGTTTTTAACTATAAGAATTTATTATTGATGGATTGGAGAATACAGTTTTAATGGAACAATAAGGCACAACTGTGGATTAAAACAGTTTGCTGTACAGCCAAAAGGAGGAAAAAGTCATAATCTCAGGAACTTTAAATATGCAAGTCAGGGAGCCTTTGAAATACCTCTCTAGCAGATCAGTGTCAGACAATTCTTCCCTTTTATACAATTCCTATACTACATTACTTCATCACAAAGTCAGACTGATACTTCACCAAGAATTTCTCCGTCATTTATACTTGAGTCATCTAGCCTGGCCACTCCTCTGTTCCCCATTCTTCCCAATCCCTTTGCAGTGGTTTTTTTAAAAAAGCAATTCCCACCCTGGCTGGTTTGGCTCAGTGGTTAGAGCATCAGCCTGCAGTCCAGAGAGACCCGGGTTCGGTACCTCGGTTACAGTTTGTCCCCGGCCCTGGTTGGGTCGTGTGGGAGGCAGCCACTCGATGTGTCCCTTTCACCTCAATGTTTCTCTCTCTCTCTCTCTTCCTCTCTCTCCTCCCCACTCTATCTGAACAAAAAATGGCAAAATGTCCTCGGGTGAGGATTAAAAAAAAAGCAATTCCCTTCCTAAAGAATTATGCATACATCTTGGATAATTTTCCAAAGCAAGGACACAAGCAAGCATGCAACGAGTCAGACAAAATCAGCCAAGGGCATTTATAACAATGAACAGACTGATGTTAGGATGTTAAGACAGATGTTAGGATGACAAAAGCCTGATTCAATGAGGTCTTCCCTAAGCTGACTTAGGCGGAAAAGTTGCTCTGGTTCATGCAAAGGCCTGTAATGCCTCCTCAGGTTGTGCCACTGGTGCCAGACCCCCTGTTTCTAAGGGATTAGCAGTGGTTTAAGAGAGGAGCTAGTAATTAAATGTAAGCAGGCTGCTTATGATACAATACATTCAAAGCTTTGGACCTGTATTAGGAGCCGACTATGGCTTCCAGTATTAACATTTGCCAAGTGTAAAATTCATTAAAAATTTTGTGCAAAACTTCGAGATACTGAAGACAATCTTTAAATCTCTTGGACTGGATAAGTAGGCACTTCTGTAACACTAATCTTTCTATTTGGAAATGTGAAGTGAAAAACATTCCAGGGCACGTAACACTGAGGCATAAATCATGCTGCAGAAGTGGGAATACATGAGGCTTTTAGGGTGCCAGCCTCCTTGCTCAAAAAGTCATGGGAAAGTCCCCAATCATATTGTCAGAGCAGACATTCTGGTGGTGACAGTGTCCCCAAACTAAGCAAACCTGTTGGCATATGGCTATTTTCTCAAAAGTCAACACTGTACGAACAAGAGTAGCCACGTAGGTATGTATGCTGAGAACCAGAGGCCAGAGGTAGAGTGACCTGGGAGTCACCAGAAAGACTTTGCTTTACACCTCTCACCAAGGCCTCCGCCTTTCAAGAAAAACAGGGCTCAACCCACAGCCCTTTGATGACACAGCAGAGTGCAAGGAACCAAGAACACATTCTTCTGAGAGAAGGGTTGGTTACTGAAAAGTTCCTGGAGAGGCAACATCCCAGAGACCTATTTAAAAATAAAGGTAGATCAAAACTGCCAGACCACCCAATTATCCTGCTAAGTCAGAAATACATTGAACAGGCATAGCTTGGGGTGCCAAGTAGAACAGAGGGGATTGAAGCTTAATAAAAAACAGGGAGACTGAAAGACTAAGTGAATGGTGTGTTGGTTAAAAAGAAGTAGAAGGCAAACGACATATAACAAAGGATGGAGGAGCATGACAAAGCCCTGTTGGAGGGAAGGCAGCAAGGCTGTCGTCTACATCCAATGAAAGAGCTATGCTGACTGGCTCTTGACATGATTCCCTCTTTGCCAGGTGAGACACACATGCGGCAATCAGCAGCAGAATGGGGTGGGGAGAATATTCAGAAATGGAGATAACCGGTGAATGGTATGGAACAGATATAGACTGGGTGTAGCATTCTGTAATGCCCTGTTTATACACCAAAAGCAGGTTTATGTTGGCAGAACATATTGGGGGTTGTCATGCAACAGTAGTACTTTGGGAGAAGGCAAATGATAGGGTGAAGGTGGGGCTGGTGGACAGGCGGCCTCCCATGTTCCAGTTCTTAAATACTAGAAAACAAGGACCAGTTTAGTTTCAGTCCTTTAGTGAAGAAATCGGATGCTCATTTTCTGTTCAACGTCCACTTTCTCCAAAACCTGGGGGGGAGGGAACCCAATTACAGTCATGAAGGTCACAATAGGAGATATTGTCCCATGCTCTTATCTGAATGTTTTTCTCCCTCCCTCCTGTGCAGAATTAAACTTTTCAAACCATGAGATGACTGACTGACCTTAACAAATTCTGTGAAAGATATGGCGCTGTCTCCATCTTGATCAGCCTCCTGGATGGTCCTGTCTGCGATGCTGCCCAGCTGTTCATCGGAGATATTTACTCCAACCATCATTCGTAGCACCTGCAGGACCAAGAGCCAGGATTACAGACTTTTGGTCAGAGGGACTCTTTCACTAAGATTAAGGGTAAAGCCACCCCAACCCACTTTTCCTTTGATGTCCTAGAATGTAACAGCCAGAAAGCTGAAACCATTATCTTCTCATTAGGCCATACTAGACAATGACAAGAACAAAACTCTCTGGCAAGGTCACTGAATAGGAAAGCAAACCTCACTGAAGGAGAGTCCTTTGCATTTGCTTTAGCCCATTCTTCCTGCCTAGAATGTAGGTATGACGCCTGGTGTTACAGCAGCCATCCTGGGACCATGAGCTGAAAGTCGTATGTGCTATGAATGCCAGAGCAAGAATACAGAAGAAGCCTGGTTTCTGAACATCATTTAGGTACTGCACCGACCTAGACAATCTGTGCCCAGACTTCTTGTTCCATGAGGCAAACTAGTTTCTTTTTTCTTTCTTTGCAGTGAAGGAGAAAACTTTATCCAGCACAAAACAGCTCAATTTTGATACAGCACGGCTGTGAGGCAGCCCTGGGGCCAGGCCCCTCTCCAGCTAGAAAGCTCTGCTCTACCCCTCCACAGTTTGCTTTGCTCTGCTACGAGCTGATTGGTGGTGCACTGTGCTGGTCTGCTCGGGCACTACATCTTCAGTGTTTCAGCTCAGCAAGGGAGCAAACTAGTTTCTTACTGGATTTAGTAAGTTTGGTAGGATTTTCTGAAATCCTATCCAAATGCAGTCTTCTTTGAGGTGGTACAGTGACCTGCAATCCCTAAAATATGGCTAAGAAACATGAAGATTCTTGTAGGGTTAACTACTAAATCCCCCCTCTTAGAAAAATAACATTCTAAGTACTGTGAGAACTGCAGTAAAGAGAATTTAACACTGTTTCAGCAAATCTGTCTCAAACATAACAAAACCACCCCCTTTCAATTCTGCTAACATCATTAGGGTGTGAATATACTTTGAAAATTGCTCCTTTAAGCAAAATAAACAACTCTAGCCCTGGCTGGTTTTGCTCATTGGTTGGAGCACTGGCCTGCAGACCAGAGAGTCCTGGGTTTGGTTCCCTCTAAGGGCATGTACCAAAAACAAAAACAACTCTAATCATATGACTTGGTATAAAATGGGGAAAGGGGTGCTTTGTGATGCCTCGCATCACTGCAGTCAGCTACTTCTGTCTTCAAAAGGTAAGAACAGAGCTTTTCCACAGGAAAGAAAGGCTTTCCAGCTCAGCTGTTCATAGGCCTTCCTTTCCCCCACACCTTTACATCCTTCTCCAATCTCATGAAATTACTTTTAAAAAGTAAATTACAGTTTTTCTGAAAAGAAAAGCGCTGAAATATGTATCAACACATCATTTTCTTTGCAAATCAATTCTTGAGAATTGGAAATTGTGTATTTTGGGCACAGATGTACATAAATGGAAGGATTAATTAAAAAGAGGCAAGCAGCCCTGGCCGGTTTGGCTCAGCGGTTGGAGCGTCGGCCTGCGGTACAGAGAGACCCAGGTTCGGTTCCCGCTAAGGGCACGTACCTTGGTTGCAGTTTGTCCCCGGCCCTGGTTGGTCATGCGGGTGGCAGCCACTCGATGTGTTCCTTTCACATCAATGTTTCTCTCTGTCTCTCTCTCCCTCCCTCCCTCCCACTCTATCTGAACAAAAAATGGAAAAATGTCCTCAGGTGAGGATTAAAAAAAAAAAAAAAAAAAAGAGGCAAGCAAAAATAAAGAATAGCCAAGTCATTTGCCATCTTTCCTGATTGTGTGGCCAACTAGACAAATCAATCTATCCGCAAACCTCTCTAACAGATTAGACCTCAGTCCAATTCTTCTCTGAAGTGTTTCATTTTTAGAATTATAAGACTGAATTGTGCATGGGTGCTGTGCGTATAGTGGGAGGGGATAGTACTGGTTGTGTCTTAAAAATCACTCAGCCGCCCTGGCCAGTTTGGCTCAGCGGTTAGAGCGTCGGCCTGCGGTCCCGAGAGACCTGGGTTCGGTTCCCGCTAAGGGCACGTACTTCGGTTGCGGTTTGTCCCCGGCCCTGGTTGGTCGGGCGGGTGGCAGCCACTCGATGTGTCCCTTCACGTCGATGTTTCTCTCTCTCTCTTCCTTCCTCTCTCTCCCTCCCACTCTGTCTGTGCAAAAAATGGAAAAGTGTCCTCAGGTGAGGATTAAAAAAAAAAAAAAATCACTCAGCCAAGTCTATTAATAAGGACATGAGGGTCTGGAACTGGCTTGATACATGTCCCAGTAACCAGGGTTCTGAGCTGGCCACCCAGGCCTCCTTGCCCAACCAGTGTGCTTCCTACCTCTCCATAGTATCAGTTATGGTTCCAGTCAGAAGGGATTTTTATTATTACTATTTTTAATGTCTGGTGAGGTTTTTTTGGTATATACCCTTTACCAGTTAAGGAATCTCTCTTTTACCTCTGTTTTTCCTAAGAGTTCTTTTTTTTTTATTTTATCCTCACCCAAGGACATTTTTCCATTTTTTTATTCAGATAGAGCGGGAGGGAGAAAGAGGAAGAGAGAGAGAGAGAAACATCAATGTGAGAGAGACACACTGATTGGCCACCTCCTACGTACCCCCCTACTGGGGATTTGGCCCACAACCTGGGCGTGTGCCCTGACCGGGAATTGAACCTGTGACCTCTTGGGTGTATGGGTCAACACTTAACCAGTGAGCCACACCAGCCAGGCCATATGTAGAGAGCAATTTTAATAAATTCTTCTTACTGAAGAAAGACATCCAACTCAAAAGCAAAGGACACTAACAATGACCTGTGTAGACTGTTTCAATTTTTGCTCAGACATAGAAATGTAGAAATACCTTGAGTTATTCCTTAATCTGGCCTGAATAATCTTCAACTTAGAGATTTCTCAAGACACTGAATGAATTCAGATTTACTTCAGGGTGTTTACTTTTTTTTTATCCTCACTGGAGGACATTCTTCCATCTTTTGTTCAGACAGAGCAGGAGGGAGAGAGAGGGAGGGAGGGAGGGAGAGAGCGAGAGCGAGAGCGAGAGAGAGAGAGAGAGAGAGATCGACGTGAAAAGAACACATCAAGTGGCTGCCACCCACATGACCCAACCAGGGCCGGGGACAAACTGCAACCAAGGTACATGCCCTTAGCGGGAACCAAACCCAGGTCTCTCTGGACCGCAGGCCAATGCCCTAACTGCTGAGCCAAACCGGCCAGGGTGAAAACCTTTTTACTTTTTAGGTATATCTGGAAATAGAGAAATTTCCCCACAGAAAGTCCTGACTGTGTCAGTCTCCTAGGGTCCTCCAGGTCTATAAATAGTAAAACAAATTTTTTAATGTTTTTATTTATTTATTTTAAAAAACACGTTTTTATTGATTTGTTTTAAGAGGGAGACAGGAGGAGAGAGATAGAAACATTGATGTGAGAGAGGAACAGCTGCCTCCTGAATGTCCCCCACTGGGGATGGAGCCTGCAACCTCACTCCTGGTCAGGCATGTGCCCTGACCAGGTATCAAACCGGGACTTCTCAGTCCTTGGGATGATGCTCAATCCACTGAGCCACTGCAAGTTTCCCCAGCTCATTTGCTCTGCCTTATATCTAGGATAGAACTCTGCACACAGAAGGTATTAAATAAATGCTTCCTGAAGGAAAGTACCATTCCTGTCCACATGAATAAGCGGGCAGGGCCCAAACACAAGTTATCCACGTGCATGAGAGCTCTCCCACATACCTGTAACAGCTCATCGCGGGAGATCTTGTCATCTTTATCCAAATCATATAGTCGAAAAGCAACTGTTAGGGAAAAACAAGAAGTTGGTGGAAATTCAGTATATTGTTCTGCTCCTTCTCAAGGAACTAAATATGTAAAGGACACTAGAGAGAAAACTGAAATTGAATTAAATTTTTTTCAAGAGCTATTGCCATTACTTGTAGAGCTTTTAGACTATGTAACACTTAAGACATTGAGATACATCTCATTTGTTCCCTCCTGAAACAAATCAGAAAACTTAATCTATACCAAGTATTGCTCTGGGAAAATGGCCACTTTGACAAATTTGAGCCAAATCTCTCTACTACGTGGGAGTACTGTAGGTAAAGAGCTTCAGTTTCAAATAAAAATACCAAGAATTTGATGGTCTTCTGACCTTATCATGTCTCTCTCTTTAACAATAGATGTCTTAGATACAGGGAACTTTTTGTTGCCTGCTAGATGGAAGGGGGCTGGGAAGATGGGTGAAGAAGATGAAGGAATTAAGAAGTACAAATTGGTTGTTAGACTGATGAACCTCAAAGGGAAGGGGGGAGGGAGGGTGGGATAAGATAAACCAAAGAACTTCTATGCATGTGTGCATAACCAACAGACACAGACAATACTGTGGGGAAGGCAGGAGGGGTGCAAGATTAGAGAGGAGGGAGTAAATGGGGGGAAAAAGGAGGGACATCTGTAACATATTCAACAATAAAGATAAGTTAAAAAATTAAAAGGAAAAACAGCCTGGCTGGTGTGGCTTAGTGGTTGAGCACTGACCCGTGCACCAAGAGGTTGCCTGTTCGATTCCTGGTAAGGACACATGCTCAGGTTGTGGGCCTGATCCCCAGTGGGGGCATGCAGGAAACAGCCAATCGATGTTCTCTCTCATCAATGTTTCTATCTCTCTCTACCTCTCCCTCCCTTTCTAAAAGCAATAAAGAAAAATAAATAAATAAGTCTTTATAAATTAGGCTATATAAGAAAATTCAGAAGAGCAAACATTATTCAGCCATGTTGCTGAAGGGCTACCAAGTGAATAATGTGATAACAATATATGATTTTATAGGCACTGTGAGAGATCATCGCGTTGACGAAGTGACTGCCTTGGTTTGGAGGCTTTGAATCACTTCAAGTATGCTACTAAGATTTTTGGTTTTCAGTAGGGTGCTGTGAATACTGAAAGGCCAAAATCTACTGCTCTAGATTTATTAAGACACATGGATTTAGATCTTGTCCCTCGAAACTCATGATTTAGTGGAGGAGAGCAACATGCACTACTCAATTAAATATATCCTTTCTAAAAATAAATACATCCTCATCTGAGGATTTAAAAAAAAACATTTTTTCCCTTTATTGATTTTAGAGAGATAGGAAGGGAGAGGGAAAGAGAGAGAGAGATAGAAAGAAACATTGATGAGATAGAACATCGACTGGCTGCCTCCTGCATGGCCCCTGCTGGGGATTTGGCCCACAACCTGGGCATGTGCCCTGACTGGGAATGGAACCAGCAACATCTTAGTGCATGGGTCAATGCTCAACCACTGAGCCACACCGGCTGGGCCCAAACTTGAGACTTTATATGCTTAAGTGGTTTAGAGTCTAAAGGAAAGGAGACAAAGATCGTAAGTGTTCCTAAAAGAATGGTAATATATACATTCCTAAAACTACACACACACTCACACACTTCTGCATATGCTATCATCTTTCAGAAATATTATAAAATATGTTATCTAATAAGCTATCTTTAGGATGATTTCAGGATGAAAACCTATTTGCTATATAACCTGTTAATATCTATTTCTGAATTTCTTAATTAGGTAACTGGAATAAACCCACCCCTTTTAGCCAAAGTATTTATAGAAGCCTGAACTGCTCATTCATTTTTTAAAAATTACATTTATTGGGGTGACATTGGTTAATGACATTACATAAGTTTCAAGTATAGAGTTCTTTTTTTTTTTAATCTTTATTGTTGAATGTATTGCAGATGTTCCTCATTTTTTCCCCCTTGACCCCCCCCCTCCTCACTTCTACCCCCCTCCTGCCTTTTCCCACACTGTCGTCTGTGTCCATTGGTTATACATATAAGTTCTTTGGTTTATTTCTTCCCACCCACCCCCAACCCCCTTCCCTTTGAGGTTTATGAGTCTAGCAACCAATTTGTACTTCTTAATCCCTTCATGTTTCACCCATTCCCTCAACCCCCCTCCCATCTGGCATCCAACAAAATGTTCTCTGTATCTATGAGAATGTTTCTGTTCTGCCTGTACATTTTGTTTGTAGATTCAATTGTCAATAGATATGTATTCATTGCCATTTTGTTTGTTCATATATTTTATCTTTTTCTTCAAAAAGACCCTTCAACATTTCATATAATAATGGTTTGGTAGTGATGAACTCCTTTAACATTTTCTTGTCTGGGAAACTCTTTTATATGGCCATCGATTCTAAATGACAGCTTTGCAGGATAGAGTAATCTTGGTTGTAGGTTCTTGCTTTTCATCGCTCTGAATATTTCTTGCCACTCCCTTCTGGCCTGCAAAGTTTCTTTTGGGAAATCAGCTGACAGTCTTATGGGAACTCCCTTGTAGGTAAACAACTGCTTTTTTCTTGCTGCTTTTAAGATTCTCTCTTTGTTTGAACCTTTTACATTTTGATGATGTGTCTTGGTTTGGGCCTCTTGGGGTTCATCTTGTTTGGGACTCTCTGTGCTTCCTGGACTTGTACGTCTGCTTCCTTCACCAAGTTGGGGAAGTTTTCTGCCATTATTGTTTCAAATAGGTTTTCGATTTCTTGTTCTCTCTCTTCTCCTTCTGGCACCCCCAAGATGCGAATGTTGGCACGCTTGAAGTTATCCCAGTGGCTTCTTACACTATCCTCATTTTTTTGGATTCTTTTTTCTTTTTGCTGTTCTGATTGGGTGTTTTTTGCTTCCTTATATTCCAAATCGATGATTTGCTTCTTGGCTTTACCTACTCTACTATTGAATCTGTGTAAATTATTCTTTATTTCAGTTAGTGCCTCCTTCATTTCTGACTGGGCCTTTTTTATGCTCTTGAGGCCCTCACTAAGTTCGCTGAGGTTCTAAGTTCATTGAGCATCCTTATAAGCAGTATTTTGCACTCAGCATGTTAGGTTGCTTATCTCCATTTCACTTAGTTCTTTTCCTGAAGTTTCGTTCTGTTCTTTCATTTGGGACCTGTTGGTCTCCTCATTTTGGCTGCCTCCCTGTGTCTGTTTCAATGTATTACTTAATGAGAAGTATGGGGCTAGCTGAGACCAGATGCTGCTTGTTTGAAATAACATAGGAAAACCTAAAGAAGGATCCAAGACAGGCCAATCCTATGGTAAAGCAACTGGCAACAGCTTGGGTGGGCCTGAAAGTTGGATGGGCGGGGCCTCAGGGAGTCAGCAGGGCAGGGCAACCAGTGTGGGCCAGGTCACTGGAGTCCCAGATATGGCGACTGTCTGCCGCCCCATGGAAGGGCTCACCAAAAGAACAAAGGCCTTTGACAGCACGTTTGTCCCTGAGAAAGCCCCCTCTCCAGTGCCAAACAGCTCAGTTCTTCCCTGTATATCTCTGGTGCCCCTCGAGCTGCCTCCCCTCCAAGCTTAGAGGGAGTCTGATAAGTCCGTGTACAGGGCCCTTTAAGAGGAGCTGCCTGGGGCTCCAGCCGCCTCAGCCTCCCTGAGCCTCAGTTCCCGCTGGTTTTTCCAGCCAGAAGTTATGGGGACTTCTCTTCCTGGCACTGGAATCCTGAGTGGGGCGCCTGGTGTGGGACAGGGACCCCTCAGTTCTCAGAGAGGACCTTCCCAGCTGAGGTATCCTCCTGATTTTTATCTGCCACATGTGGGTGTGGGACCAGCCCATCCGCCTGCTTCTTTAATTCCATAGTTGTAGGACTTCCACTCAGCGTGATTTATGGTGGTTTTGAATGATGGTTGTTCTGTAGTTTAGTTGTAACTTTGATGTGGTTGTGGGAGGACGCAATACCACGTTTACCTACGCCACCATCTTGACCAGAAGCTTCAAGTATACAGTTCTATCATTTGCACATCCTTACAGCTAGTAAAGTTGAGCATCTTTTCATATATTTGTTGGCCATTTGTACTGAATTGCTTACTCTTGAAACCCAGCTGCCTTGGATTGAATGTCTGTTTCCCCCCACAAATTCATGTTGAAACCCTAACTCCCAACAATATACTATTAGGAGGTAGAGTCTTTGGGGGTAATTAGGGTTAGATTATGTCACGGGGATGGAGCCCTATGATGGGAAGAGACAGTAGATCTCCTTCACCTCTCTCCTTCTCTCTGTTTCCACCTCCCTCCCCATGAGGATACAGTAATAAGATGACTGTCTGTGAACAAGTAGAGGGCCTTCACTGAGAACCTGACCATGTAGCATCCCGATCTCAGACTTCCCAGATTCCAGAACTGTGAGAAATGTCGTTTAAGTCACCAAGTCAATGGTATCCTGTAACAGCAACCTGAGCAGACTAAGACACCAGCAGAGGAGTAACTAGAGAGATCATTCAATAGGGCATTTTAGAAAAAACTGCAGCAATAGTAGTTACTTTTTAATTGACTTGGATTCCTGTTAGTCAGCTCTAACCCTGAAACAGAAGAAATGCTTTTCCTAAGATAATGAATGGTCAAGTACACAAATGACTGAGCCATTTTGTTAGGTTCTCTCTTTCCTCTCCCTCTCCTGATTCTTGGTCCCATGACTTGGACTCTCGTCTCCAAAGCTGCCTTCTTGACTCTCCAGTTCAATGGCTTCAAGTGCCACCCAATTATGATTACTCCCAAACGTGCAGCTCCAGCTCAGACCTCTTGCCTGAGCTCCTCAGAGCAATACAGCACAGTGGTTAAGACTCTGGCACTGTCCAATCCTGGCTCTGATGCTTACTAGCTATGTGCCTCACAATTGCCTGAGGGGTGCAAAATAAAAATAAAAGAATCCATAGGGTTCTGAGGACTGAGTTAGTATATAAAAGGCACTTTCAACAGTGCCTGGCACACAATAAGAGCTCAATCATT